ATCTGACTAAACATTTGTGATAATAAACCATAGATTTACTCATCTTGAATATTTCTTGTAGTATACTATATGTATTATGCAAAGTCATATCCAGCAACTACATCATGTTTTCTTGCACACTCACATATACAATACATAATTGTGTTTTTCTTGTCATCGGTTTCGTACTACCTCATTCTTATATCAAAAATGGCTGCCAGAACCAATCGGCCTCATTCTTGTATCAAAAATAGCTGCCAGGACCATTCAGCCTCTTTCTGACATCAAAAGTTCTGCCAGAACCAATTGGCCTCATTCTGATATCAAAATGGCTGCCAAGACCATTCAGCCTCTTTCTGACATCAAAAGTTCTGTCAGAACCAATCGGCCTCATTCTGATATCAAAATGGCTGCCAGAACAATTCAGCCTCTGCCTGGTTTCAAAATTGCTTTCATGAACTCCATTTTTTTAAAGCTTTTTTAAAATAGTGCTACATGGTAAATATTGTTCCAGCCTTTAACAATATTTTAGTTCCGCACTATTATATAATTGACTAAATTATATTGTATATTCTGTGTTGAACATCTTCTGACACTGAAAGTATCAAAACACACTTGTTTGCATACTAATTGCTATGTGCCCTTTCCACTTTGTTCAGAGGTACGCTCCAACCGCTGCCACTACATTGGATCTATCTGCTGTATGTAGTAACTATGACAACATTATAATATGTGTCTCTGTAGAAAACTGTATTTTAGTTGGCATTTTGGTTAAAATTTGTCTTATTTAATTTCTCAAAAAAATGGTTTTGTGTGAATGTTATATATTTCATCTGAATATACCACATGTGGCTTTTTTGCATTCTATTTATTAGTTTGCATTTGCTGATTAGCCACTGTGACAGAAAGTGTTTGTATCATACCCAGTTTTCTTTTACTTTATTGCTTTGAGTGTCAAAACTGTTGTCACTTCCTAAAATAAAGTGTGCCTATTCCTATTTTTCTTCCAAGTTTTGATCAAGCATAGTAGCCAATAAGAAATTATGTTCAATTGCTCCAAAATATTGAAGAAAAATGCACAAAAATATGAGAAATGTTGCATATCAATTTCGGAGGAAAAAATGATGGGACTCAATGTGTAAAGTGTTTCACTGTTGTATGTAATTGGTAAACATTTTTCCAGTTTGTCATTGAGACTGCTCTGGATGTTATAAGATTAGAACAACTGATTACATACTTTGTTTAAAAATATTCTTGTTTACCGACAGAATTTGTGTACTGTACTAACATATTTACACTGTAGACAAAAGTCTACACAATATTTTGAAAGGAAGTAGGTAATCAGGTGTTCTAATCTTACAACATCCAGAGCTACAAAAAATGTATCTCAATGACAAAATCTTAGCGATTTTCACTGTAATTTTTCTATACAACTTGATACACAACTTGAAATAAATTAGAATTTCCTTTTTTTTTTTATTTAAATGTACATATGTAATTTTAAATCCTTCATTGTCTTGGAAGTGTACATTAAATTTTTGTGTTTTTTTGTGACTGCATGAATGTTAAAATCTTTTGTTCTGTGTTTCGATTACTGTAGTTACAATAGAAGTTGGTACGAAAATGTTTCAAATATTCATACACTTTTGTAATTTCTAACTTTACTAGTAAATTTATAAACTTTGAAATAAACTTTATGCAGGTTACAGGGTTAATACACGAGACTCCCTGGGGAAAAGTACAACATGATCCGTTCGTTGGAACATTTCTGCAAAGTGTCAGGAAATATATTTAAACAAACTTGTTTGTAAAGATAAAGTTTCAGTAGTTTGTTGTATGTTAGTATATAACCAATAGAATGTAAAAAAAAAAACTGTGCATCCACTTTGAGTGCATCGACATTCATAAACTGTACTGATTACCATCAACTCATTCTGTGTATTGGGTCTTATCAAGTAAATATTATGAACCCTAGTTATCTAGACCGTAATTAGTCTTCTCTGAGGAACTCAAATGATATCTTTCCTGCAAAGTGCATCTCCATAAAACTTTGGAGGCTACCACACAAGTGTTACTTCATATGTGATTGGCAGTATACCTTGATATTGTCGTCAACGGCACTTGTTTATCGCATTGTCTGCTGAAAACTTCCGCAGAGAGCTGAAAGGAATGGGGAAAAAAACAGCATCAGCCAAGTCTTGAATAATACTAGTACTGTAAAATCTGTATTCGAAGCTGCGGCTGCTATTAAAATGGTACAATACAACAGATAGGTTGCGGCTTCTATTAGAGCATCTACACATGTGAGAAATGGTGAATTTTTGGTTCTCAATTATTTAAAAAGAATGGGTGTGACTTCTATTAGGGATGCGGCTACTAATGCAGATTTTACGGTACTTCAAAGTTATCCCGATGTGCATTGCAGGCTTAACACTACGCTGACTGACACTTTTATGAGCCAGTCTCATATTGACAATCCCTGAAGGATTTCTGCAGGCACACAGATTAGTACGTGTTCTGTTCATCCTACCACTGCGTAGATTCAGTATTAAGCTCTGGTTTTGAATTGTAATAGTAATTACGATGTGTGTTTCGTTGCAGTCCAGTAACCAGACCAGTTGGCAGCAGCCGGAACCAGCTGCACCTCCTGGACCACTGATGTTTAATCCTAATGCATTTGCGTCGCAGCAGAATGTTCAACCCGGTGCAGCTGCCAAACACACGGGTTACAATATACACAAGAGAAGACAGTACCCAACCCAGAGATAACACACAGTGATGTGATCTATTTCAGCTCTTTTTATTGGATATCCAGCTCAGCCAATTATCTTATAGATTTGTTAACTTCTGACCAGGTGGTTCGCAATGGGTTTTTCATTAATTCCCATACTGCTAAACATCCGAGCAAACTGAACTCTGTAATAAACAACCCAATATTCGTGGCTGAATCAATCCAACTGTTTGTGAACCGATTAAAGC